CCACATACATCTAAATTGCGTTGGTTGCCGATACCATTCCTCTTTTTACAATATTTCTTTAAAAAAGAATTCAATTTCATTTAACTAACTTCAAATATAGTTAATGTAAATGCTTCATCATTAATTCTTTGCTGTAATTTTTCTAAATTTGCATTCACACATGAAACATATGCTTGACCATTTTCATTAATTGGTTTCTAATTTGAAATAATATAATATAAAATAATTGTTAAAAAAAAAAGAATTTCTTACTGTTAATGAAAGAATTGAAGCAAAAATGATCCTTCATCATGTCGTGATCATTTTTTTAATACCGAATTCAGAGCACTAATTAATTTTTGCATCAACACTTTTGACATATCACTTATAATTCTTTCTAAATATTCATCAATACGTGTATGATATTGATGAAGATCACCACCATGTAATTGACATCATTTTAAAGCCTAAGAATTAATAAACAATTTATCAAAAGAACTATATTTATTTATTATTTACTTGAGTTTTACAATCAAGTATAACATTAACCATAACACACCATTCAGATGGTAAAAGATAATCGGAATTAGTACCACCAATTAAACCACCTTTTTTCAACCATGTTTCAAAATGTCGCCATACTCTTAAATGTTTTATAAAAACATGTTTTTTTATTGATGGTTAGAAATTGTTTAAGAAAAGATACTGTAATTTGTAGAGGACGCAATTTTTTGATAGTAGATAGCATTTTAATTTGATAGAGTTGCTATAATTTGTAAAGGGCTTAAGTTTTTTTTATCAGAAAATGTTTTTCAATTTAGTAGCACTGTTGCAACTTGTAGAAACTCATCATGTACGAGCAAGGATCGTTGATTACGGCTTAGCTACATAAAATTTTAATCGAAGTCCAATTGAGGCTTCAAAGAGATATCATCGTAATTTAGTATTAAGGTTCTTCAAAGTTGTATTTCTGTTTTTCACATAATTCTGTTTCACATGATGAATGACGCGACACTACAGTCATTGTAAGACACTGGTACGAACAATTTTGTACGAGAACCCATATATACTGAAGATGCTGCTAAATCAACTCCCTGGTTTTAATTTATATGCGAATATTATATTATAACATAATAAAATAATGTCTATCGGTAGTGCATGCATTTCATACAGTTTCATTCCAAATGTATTACCGGATGTCGAATTCGATATTAATTTCATGATTAATGTATATGTAATCAAAGACTAATATAGAAAAACAGAATTTTTTCAAGTGCAAAATTGCTTTTTTAGTCGAAACTGCATACATCACATAGATCCTATTGAGTTGTGAATATTTTAAGTAATTTCAAGCTATAAGCAACTCGTTACCGAGATATTACACTTTTACGGTCTTTTTTAACGAATTGTCATGATGTTCCTTAGAAACATGACGAAAACTGATTTTTGAATTTCGACTTGGTACCATGCAACGAGACAGATTTTAAAGAAAATATTTTATTATGACAGCTTCAGGTTTTTCGATCGATCCTATTCTGAAATAACAACATTAAAATCTACCGGTGTATATGAGCGACGTGAAAAACGAGCGTTTTCCATAGTTGTATCTTTCCTTAGTATTCTTGAGGGAGTCACAGTATTATGCTACAAAAATACCTTAAAATACAACATCTCTGCAACGATAAGCTAATAGACCGAACTTCTTTTTTTTTTTTTTTATAGAATCCACAACGTATTAGGTTTTACCTGATGCATATAGCCTTGACTCAAAAGCAATTTGACATTTGGAAATATGCGCTCGTTAGAGAGCATGTCTTCAAAAACAGATTGAAATAATATCCATCTTCGACTTTACTATTAGATTTGTCGTAGTCATGTTCAAGCTTTATGTTCTATGCTTGAAGATATTTCATATTCAGTGAACAAAGAAGATTTAGAACTACAAGTTGATGTAATAATAATATTTGACTACAAACTTTGATCTCTATAGAAACATCATTTCATTAAACAAAAATCTAGCTCTTTTAGAAGGATATGTCTATAGTATTATTATCAAAGTATATACCAACGTCATAGTCAATGAAATTACAATGTATTTGAAAGAAATCTGTATATTAGAGCAAAAAAAGTAGTTGTGAATATTATCTGATTGAGAGGATATTGCTTAGACAAAATTCAAGATCACTTTTCTATAATCAAACAGAATCAACGATTGCTGATTGTATTTGATTATAGAAAAGCAGGAGTATAACTCGAAGAAATTGTAAAAGAACGCCTTGCATGGGCTAATTATTTTAAACGTGATCAATTATTAAAACATTTTACTGGAGAATCTTAAAAAGATGAATATTTAGCAGTAAAATAAAAAATAATAAATTTTAATGTGAAATTTTCAGTAGTTTTCGAAATGAAGTTATTTGAAATTTTTAAAAATTAATCAATTATTATAGATCAATGTGTATTAAAAGAACCAGAAAGAACGACCTACACCATGTCAATTTTTTCTATACTACATCGCGACCACAATCACTTTATATTTTATTCATTTTCGTTTATCAATCAAACTCGATAAGGGATATCTGTAATTTAATGCCTTCAAATGATTAATTTATTTTTTGTGCAGGCCAAAATATAGCATTTATTGGTATGCATTGATTAGTTGCTTAATTCTATTGATGGAGTATATTTTGTCTCTATATCTGGGGCAATCTGATTGTAGCTAATCAGCGATTATTCAGCTCTTACAGCAATTTTATGATGTACTGCATGATCAAATGGATAAGTTGTAACTTTCATTCTATGTTACCATTTAAATACCAATTTTCTTCATGCAATCCAGTGCTTTGATGGTATCCATATTACAGAAATTAATATTAATCCTCTTCGTTCTTGTTTCGATTTCGTAAGCCAATAATCAATTATGTTTAATTTTGACAATAGCAGACACAAAACATTCCCATGGAAGCAATCATTGAAACAGCTACTAAAGCGAATATTCATCAGTTTATTCAACAACTTTCTCAGATGAAGAATAAAATGGCATTCGACATTCATCATCATTTATTATAGCACAACTAAGAGACGAGAGCGGTTATAAAAAGAAGTTTCATGTCGAGTGGCAAAAAACAACGGATTGCCATTGTTCGAGCTTTTCTGTATCTTTTATTTAGAAAATTTTAATTCTACATAGATCATGCAAAAAGTTCTCGAACAACACTCACTATTATTCATCGTTTCTAAACCATTCGTTCATGAGACCTTATATGTGTAATTGATGCAGGATGCATAGTAGAAAGTAGCAGTCATATAAATTTGACGCAACGAAACAGAACCTGCTATAGAGCTGTGACTCAAAATAGTTTTAGAAATTAAAATTCATATTAATATTGCTTTGTAAACAAAAATATTGCCTCAAATATTTTGAAAGATTCGATTAGAAATCTCGAATGCTATTGCATTCATACATCATGATCGATTCAAAAGCTAATACATTGCAATTATATGAACTAGTATATCAAAAGATATAATGATAAAATCAAATTAAAAAACAAACCTACTTCCAAAATGATGAATCCATAATACTTCCTTGTAAATTTAATTATACATGTTCTAATCGAGTGAACTTTAGCTTTAAAAATTGTATTTCGATCAAAGGTAGACATAATCAAGAAACTGTAAACAAACATTGATCAAATTATGTTTTTGAAGAACTATTAATCATTTAATCTTGACAGTATAATCAAGAAAAAATATTTGTAACAAATTCAGCGGGAGAACATCCTTATTTATGTCGGTCTTAGGGTTCCACGTGGGATGGAACGGTTATTTTCGTCCCATTTCATACCACGTGAAGCTTTGATCGATATAAAATTTTAAGAAAGTTTATTTTAATTTAGAAACACTGTCTAATTTTGAATAGATATTTTTTATTGGAGTATATTCTATTAAATCTTGTTGTTAAGTACTAAAAAACCACAAAACATTCGATCATATAATGTACAAGTGCAGTACGAGCTTTCAAGTAGAAACAATAAATTTTTTCTTATCTATCAAAAGAACAATGGTGAATGGGTTTCATCGAAATTTTATTATTATGATATCAGTTGAAGAAAAAAGCACTCTTTGTGATATCAGTATATTAGAGTATAAGTTCTTTTAAGCTTTCTTCATAGTGCAACTGAGACTATTTTTGATATACTCTAAGTACACGATATCCATAGAAGTTTGAAAAGAATAAAGAAATTTTTTAAATAATACTAAAATTATCTTAAAGATTTAATATTCATTATAATAGTGAATCAACACGAAACAAAAAAATCTATTTAAAGCTGTCATTTGTTGTTGTTACCGGACACATGACATTGATAATATTTAACTATGTATCATGTGCACGGGTGATTCATATTATTGGAAATACAATTGCGAAATAGTTTAATAATTTTCTAGTTTTTGAGATAAAATATGATAAAGTAAAAACAATCATTCGAAATAGAATAGTTATATTCTTAACGAATCTTATCTCTAAATATTAAAAGAACTCATCATTTGGCATTGATAATTAATAACAAAACACTACATTTTGTTACTAAATCAATCTTTCTAATCAATTAAAATGTCTATCTGTCAGATAAATGTACTTAAGCTATCAAAAATCCAATTCAAAGAACATCCAATGTTTGTCTTTTAAAAAAGATTATTCTTTTTTTTCTCCTAAGTAATCTTTCATTCTACTAACGAATAAATATTATTTAGACGGAATTTAAGATTCCAATGACAATTTAATACATTATTTGATAATTACTAACGGCCTACGATGAATAATAATAATAATAATAAAAAAAAAAGTATTGATCAACTAATAAGAAAACTAATTCGACATGCTTCTTTATTTTCAAGGATATGAAAAATATTTTAAATTAATGACCTTACAAAGTTTGTGCTTCGTCATGTTGTTTTGACAAATTTTTTTTTGTATTTGAAGATAACATGTTTTTTTTTACGATTATTTTATTTTTATCAATCATAAAAATATTCAAATTTTATGATGAATCAATCTCTAAGTATGCATTTATTAACAATGAATCATCATTTTATATTCTACTTAGTAGCTCTAAGAAAAAAAATAAATAAAGATAGGAAATATTATTATCGGATATATATGGAAGAAGTAATATTATCTAAAGGAATGTTTGCAATGACATACTCTATTGTTTTTCTTTTCCTAATAATAATAATAATACATTATATAGTATGAGTTTTATGCGTCCTTTGGTTGATATTTTTCGTTTATCCCTAATAATGCACCGAAAGAGAAAGATTACATTGGGTTGCAATGACATATTGTCATCTAAATACATTGCTATTGACAGACAGAATAGAAGATAATATGAAGATTTTTCTTCGAAGAATTATGTAACTTAGATTAAAAATTTTTTCTATTCGAAAAGAAAATATTTTTTGTTTTCTTCTATGATTAAAATTTATCCTATGGTAATTATAATTGACGTCAAAATAAAAAACAAGTAGAATACATATCGCAATAGAATCAATGCTTTGTTTTTATGTATTTAGTTTTGTTGACATTTTATTTTGTATTTTCTTATATTATATGATAAGACATATTTGTATGGGCTTCATATTACAATGATAAAATCACCTCATACTTTTTTTCCTACAAGAGCAAAATAACAACAAGGACATGCCATTTTTATCTGTAAAGCAAAATGTCACCAAACATGTTATTGAGATAAATGATTAAATTTCGTCTTTTTTTTTTTTTTTTTCTTTATTTTAAAATATAATTTTTTTTATCTAATATTTCTTGGCAATGAATATATATCTTTATTTGTTGTTCTTTTTATGTTTGATTTAGAATATTTCATTAAAAAAACAACGTCAAATGATCATGCTAATAACTAAGCGTGCCCTGAATCATATTATATCCTTGATAATATAGACAACAAATCTTCCCTTTTTTTTTTCTTTTTTACTTTAGTTCGAAAGTCCATTGAATACACATGTTTAAGACGTGATTCTAACTAATATCAAAGGGCAAGTTTTTATTTTTCTTCTTTTGTACGTCAGCGTATTTGCATCGTTAGTATGCTGCGTCATCATCTTTTGTTATCACAAGTTGAGCGCATGCTCTACCCATTTTTCTTTTCCACACACCTCTGCCATTGGGGGTGTGTTTTGTTCTGTTCTGATAGCGAATGGAGTATGATCTACTGCGTGTTTTTTTCTTTCCTCTCTATAGCATGACTGTGTGATCAACGACTGATAGCATTTTTGATCACGCATGCATTGCGTGATTGTACTTGAGTTGCCTCTTTTTGCTGTGTACTTACATAGTTCACATATAGTTAAACATAGAATTAGTTGCATATTAGAATATATATAAAAATAGAAGGTATATTCATGATTCAACTATCGTCCTGCATTGCATCAGATGGTTTTCAAACCAATATAAGAGAAAATTTACTAGGAATACCAACAATTATGTATCCTGAATTAAATCAAATTGATATGAATATTAATCCAAAAACAGAAATTGTAAGTAATTATTTTAAAATTTTAATAATTATCATAGATTTTATTATATAATTTTTCTTTTTTCAAACAATAGAATCGCCCTGTTAGTGTACAAGATGCTGAATTATTACTTTCAATAAGTTCTGCACCACCACCTACAAAACCAAGAAAACTTCATCCAAAATTTCGACCAGTAAATCATTTTTATTATTTTATTTCATTGAAAATATTTTGTATTTGCTTCTTTTTTTTTTATTCAGTATATTTGTGAATCAATTGATACATCTATTCCAATATTAAATAATTTAAAATTATCAAATCGATCAAATTCAATATCATCATCCCTATCTGATGAATATTCATCAGATCCATCATCAACACCATGTACATCTCCATATTTATCATCAAATGATGATAGTCAAACATCTTTAACTCAAAGCAATAATAATAATAATACGAATAATAATAATCAAGAATATCATGTTCTTTATGTTAATCTCAATGGTGAATATGTTCCTGTAGCTAAAACTTCATTTACCATTCCAACAACACTTCCATCATCAGACTTTCAAATCCCGATATGTAAACCAACATTAACACTTGATCGAAAAAGAAATCATATCTGTATATATCCCGGCTGTCAAAAATCATATTTTAAATCATCTCATTTAAAGGCTCATGTTCGATTACATACTGGTAAGTTATCATGTTAGCTTTTTTTTCCTATTGAAACTAAAAAATAGTTGACAAAAAACAACAATCATCGTACTATTACATCGTCAAATTTTAATATGCTACGAAAGAGAAAAGAGAAGATAATGAGAGGATTTATCATAGCCTTTAAACATTAAAAGAAAATGGCGTTATCATATTTTTGAAGAAAAAACAAAAGAACAAAAGCCGATATGAAACTTTCTACTCATTAAATTTATAAATTTTACAAGTAATTAAAATATTCCTTTTTGATAAAAATATACATAAAAAGTAGAGTCCAAAGTTTTCGGAAGTACATATATTTTAAGATTAGAAACTAAGTAGTTAATATTCAATGTATGAAGAATTAAAGCATAAGAATTGATAGATAGTTTTTTAGAAAACAAAAATTATTTATTAATAATATTTTTCTTTTTATTATAGGTGAAAAACCGTTTTCATGTTCGTGGTCAAATTGTTATAAAACATTTGCACGATCAGATGAATTAAGTCGACATCGACGAACTCATACTGGTGAAAAGAAACATATTTGTCCTGTTTGTCAAAAAGCCTTTATGCGTAGTGATCATTTATCAAAACATCAAAAACTTCATACAAAAATCAAGATCTCATCTTGATGAACTTATTAAATTAATGTATATAAAAGTTTAATGTTTTTTATTTTGATGAATTATCAAATCAGGACATATTCATCTACAATTTAAAGTATCATTTCACTAGTCAAACAATGCATAAAATGGACAAATGTGTGTCGTGTATTACATAAGCGTTTTAAAAAAAGAAACATTTTGTTTTTGTTCTTGCTTTGTATTTCTATTTGCGACACTATTTTTTTTTTACCATAATATGCACATGATTTTGTAAATGTTATTCTTTTTTTCTTTTTGTTTTGTATTCGTGAAACATGAACAATTGTTTTTGTTCCATATAATCGTTTTGAAAAAAAATTAGTTTAGATAAAACAAAATCGTTTTTTTCTTATTTTATTTCTTCAGTGGTTTTAAATGATATATTAACAATTTATCAGTTGTTTTTGTCTCATCATGCTGATTTTATAGTAACATTGGTCGTATTAACAGTTAAATGTACTTTTTATCAAAATGAAATTTATTTTTAGTAAGAAGTGAAGATATGTGTACTTATATGACTATTGCGTATATTATTCTTTTGTCAAGGTTACTGACAAATGGTTTTCATATGGATACAACAAATTTCGCAATATGTATTGCGACATGAGAATAAGCAGGAGTGAATATTAAAGGGATAGCCCATTAAGTATAACCTAGAAAAAGAAAAAGAACCAATGTTATTTTGAAATTGCAATGCATCCTATATTATGCGTTTGTCCGTCCTGACGCCGATACGTCGGCAGCAGATTGCAGTATGGAGAATCAACTATCGATATATCGAGGTAGAATAAAAGTTATAAGATAGTCGATCATTTAAATACCAAATTACTGTCAATATAGCAAAGATTATATCGAACGACCTACTGACAGTTTTTGTTTGATTTGAATCATATGGAATGTGTTTGTTATAAATGAGCTGTGTAAATTTGTTATCAGTTTCAATGTCTTGCAAAAAATTTTGGTTTCTTGTTTTTTTTTAATATTCATTCAATTTATATATATTTATTCATTAGAGTAACCGTTTGATAGAGAGATATTTTGTATAAAAACAGATCGATTGAAGGTCGTTTTTATATGTTTCGAAAGATTAGTAATTTATATGATGAAAGAACATTAACAAATAAGAAACTGAATTTTTGTTTTGACCATAAATAAAGTTCAACTAAATGAAACACTAAAAATAATTTTTTTATAATTTTTATGAACAAAAATCTAATATGAAATTATTAAATATGACTAACATAGAAAAAAACACCTTTCTTTTCATTTCTTCTTGATTCAGGTTCATGCATGAATGATTATATATATATATATATATAAATTTTGTTTGTATTCATGTATATATAAAACGAATGATAAAATGTATGAAAAGTCATGTCTTTGATGAACTATGTTCATCATCGATCATATATCATGAATTTTTATATTTATCAAGTAAATTTGCACACTAGGATGGTCAGTAAAACTTGAGTAGTTTTGATTCTTTTTTCTTGCTTTAGAGATTTATTAAAACATGAGAATTCAGCAATTCAATAATCATGTGTTACAACTATAGACATTATCATACCAGCGATTTTTAATCAATTATTGAAGTTTATAGTTATTAATTGTGATAATAATGCTCAGACAAATGCAAGAGCTTCCTTTTAAAATGTTTCAAGTACGATATAACCAAATAGACGGATATAGTAAACTGTAGTTGCATTCATTCGAACAAACATCTTATGTGCACACAAATCCTTAAGTTGTTGGTATACAACAATGATTTTAAAAAAAAAAAGTAATTCTATTTATTGTGTAAAAGGCATAAAAAATCTCGTATATTTTCTAGTTTTTTTTCTGGCATTGTATTTTAGACTAATTTCTTTTTTTGAAAATATTTAAAATAAAATAAATTATAATATTTATCCTTTATATTTTCTAATTTTTTTACATGTTTTATTGAAAACATAAATTTTGATAATTTTCAAATAATCTAAAACCTGAACGTTAAAATATGATATTTAATATCTTTTTGTTTTTAACTGAAATTCGTACATAGTCATCAAATAAGTATTGCCATCATCTAAACTAATGGATAAGATTTTTGTTCAATTTTAAAAAATTTATTTGAAATATAGAAGGAATCGATATGTGATATCAATTATTTTAAAGAATGGCATCGCTTTTTCTTCTTCTTTTTTTTTGTTATTTCTTAATTTTTAGTTTTATTCTTTGTGATTTCATTCGTGTACACTGAAAAAATGATTTGTTTCGTTTTTTTTTTTGTAGATAACTTTACAAAAGATAATGAACGATATTTTCTTCTTAAGTTTTATTCTCTTATGTTTATGTCTACCAACTAAACAATTAATTTGTTCAACAAATTGTTCTATTATACAAGTTAAATATTCTGAATCTTTCATTGAACCTACTAATCATAGTTCATGTATTAATAATACATCAATGATAATTTGTAAAGGACAAATAATAGCTTATTATAATGGTAAAACATATCCAAAATATATTAATTATACTTTTGGAACAATTGATGATACATTAGAAACAAAATATGAAAATGATATTGATAATTATGGATTAGAAATTTTAAAAAAATATCAAATTATTGTTAATGCAACAAATAATGAAGCAATTATTAGAGCTGATATTTATTGTACAATAAATGATCAATGTGCATTATTCGAATTAAAAAAATTATTTATTAAATATAATAATCAAATAAATCCATTTTATGAATTAAAATCATTAATATATATTGATTTACCATTAAATAATCTTTATTGTTTTGATATTTCAATTGATAAAATAAAACAATGTAATATAACAAATAATAATTCTGTTTGTATATCATATTTAAAAGATCTTAAATATGAATGTTCTTATGCATCAGATATATATATGCATGTTGAATATATTATAACATTACCATTTTTTTTATTATTAAATCAAATGAATGAATTAGTCAAATGTAATAAAGATAATTGTAATAGTATTGAAACATTAATAAAAATTGAAAATATTACAAGAAGCTATGCTTATGGAAATGTTATTATGAAAAATAATGCCGAGAGACAACGAACAAAAATAAATCAAATTTATTATATAGTTTTATGGATGTTTGTTTTGATGGTCTTTTCCTTTTGATATATATATATAGATACATATATGATAGATAGATATTGTTTATAGTATTTTAATCGAATTAGCCTTAATGTAGTTTGCATTTGTAAGATTTTCATTATTAAAACAAACCAAGAAAATTTACATTATACCGAAAAATCTTATCATAGAATTACAGTTTACGTCAAATGTCTTACATTACCTTTTTGCTTTCATTCGTGTATTTAAACTACACATTATTAATTTAATACGACAATGTGCCTGCATAGTAGAGGTCGAGTACTATGTATGTATATATATATATGCACCTGTTTGATACGATAAAGCCTTCAATGTGAAATACAATAAAAACAAAAAGCCCTAACTTCAGTATAAAGAAGAAAATGATAGAAAAGAAAGATAAAATGATATTATTGTTATCAAGGACTCTGTCGGATTGTATTAGCTATTCAGCATTGAAAATGCTTGTTAGTACAGCTGCTTTGAAGCTGAAATGTGAGGTTTACATGTATTCATTAGTCTGAGAAAACTAATACCAAATACATTAAATGAAACATCTCTAATAGATTACAGTTGTTTGTCAAGGATAATCGTTTGTTAGGAGAATGATTTAATATTATGATTAATCGAACTATTGATTTAACAGGCAAATAAGTCTTGTGTAATTGTCCATTATATATACAGCAACATATCTTAACGCATTGTTTATATATCTTGATCAACTTACAAACACTGATATTGAATATTTTCCAAAGTTATAACTTGATAAATTCACGCTAATAATAATAATTTCACTATTTAGAAGATTCACACATGTATTCCAGTCATTAAAAGTTCGAGCTCTGGAAAAGAAGTCTGACATTTATTGTCTTCAGATCTTTTAGAAAAGTACTGAATGAATGTTGGCCTTCCCCATCTTTATTATGAGAAGAAAAGACGAGTAACCTCAAAAACTCGACTCAAAACTTACACTTATTATATTTTTCTTTGAAAAATATTATATGAGTTCCACAAAAATGGAATAGTAGAATTCAGCAGTTTTGGAAATCATGTTACTCATTAATGACAAGATTTTTCTCTGTGATAGGTCATATTTCTTTAATCATATATTCGTTTATATCAATAAGCATTTGGTTTGAGCTCATATTGAGGCCACAAGGATATCTTCATGAAACTAGCAAAAACCTAAAAATAAAGATTTATCTTCATAGGCTTTTAAAACCGAACATTATGGATAAAGAGAAAACTCACATTCCACCTTATCAAAAATGTTGAGTGCATTTTCGAAAGTAGCACAATTTCATAGATCTTTATTCATCGAAAATACGTCAAAGCCGATCTAAAATGAACAAAAATTTAATCTAAAAACTTTTCGATCACCTGTTATTTTATCTATTTTAGGACACATTTTTTCACCATCCTTTTACTTAATCCTCTAAAAATACAATAAAAATGTAAGTCATATACGATCTGTGAAGGATAAGAGGATCCGAATTTCTACCCTATACACTTCAACACTTCTTTCAGATAGTATTTCACAAAAAAAATTAAACTAGAATATAAACATAAACATATTTTGACAATATTCACCATTGATTCTTTTATAAAATCATTGTGTAGTAGATCTTTGATGTTATAAAAAAGTATCAAGAAAAAAAAAATAATTTACTGATTTACTCTTTTAGAGTTTTTCATATACAAATATCGAAAAAAAATATAACATGAGCAAAGCTACAAGATATCGCTACTTATCGTCAAATAGAAAAAAAAATAATAATAGATAATAATTTATGCAAAAAAACAAAAGAAATAAATTAGCTAATTGTTTTTGAGAGAATATAGATTTTTCACACTTTTAGTCATCAGAGTCATTCGGTAAAAAAGAAAAAGAATTATTATATTTAATCATCATCATGAAGAATAGCTTTTTGTATCGCTGTTAAATAATATTCATATGTACTATTAATTATTCCCCATGATATAAGACTTCGTACAAAATTCCATTTTGCACCAATATAAAATTCTTTCAATGAATTTCCACGTTGTTTATAAATCGTATAGAAAATATTTATTGGACGATCATATCTACCATCAAGTTGAGATTGTTGAATATTTTTTAAAACATTTATTGGATAAATAAATGTTGATAAAAGTGCACCTAATAAACCACCACTTAGAAAATCATATATTGAATGTAGAAAATTTGATGATGTACGCGGTAAAATATCTTTAATCGGTTTTCGACAAGCAAAAAATATCACATTCGATAGACTATTACGTATTAATATAAGTGTTATACCACGATAATATTCAATAATACCATAATGTTGATATATAAATACAAATGCATGAGTAGCATTACGAATTAAATTATTATATTTAGGTGTTTGTAATAAAACTTGTGTACGTTCTAATGGTGTAAGAATAGCTTCTGTACTACCAGCAAGAGCAGAAGCAAGTGGTTGATGATACCAATGATATTTTTCTGAAAATGATTGAAATATATGTAAATAATGTGAATTTGTACCAAACATAATACTTAATGAAAGAGTTTTTTGTAATAAAGGTAATGGTATACCACGATATAAAATATTTAAACCTTCATGTTTTAATTGTTGATAAGCATCAATTGTTTTAAGACGACAAATTTGTTGTCGAAATATTAATTTATTAACTGGATATGTTAAAATAATATTTGTTGCTGATGAAAGAAAACCAGCTATATATTCAGGTGAACGATGTTTTAATTTGTATGATATTTGACTTGAAGTAGACGTCATAGAAATAAAATGCACATTTCAATTTTATTAGTATTCATCATGCAAATTTACAACCATCTAGAAAACAAATAAACAAAACAATTTTTTTGTATTCTATTTAAATTGTAAAAACAAAAAAAAGAAACAAAAGAACAATTAGAATAGAGATTAATATTTAATTTTTTGATTGTTAAAACATGATCATATTGATCAATTTGTATAAATCATTCAATATGAAAATTAATCTTACGAAAAAACATATTGCGAACTGTCAGATATTTGTTCAGTTCTTGGTTTTGATTATGAGAAGGACTCATGAGAGAAGTACACGAGTTGTAACTTTCTATTTGAACTCATATTGAATTCAAAAGAATTTTTCAGTAAGACTAGAAAAAGTAAAATATAGTTCGTGTCAATAGTTCTTCCAGATCCAATTTATGATTGTTTTACTGAATTTTTGATTCAGTTTTAGATATTTACTAGAAAATTAAGTAACAGAATTTCGAACTACAATTTCATCCATTGATAAATCTAATGATAGTTAGAATATTGTGAAAGCTTCAATGGAAAAGAATGTTCTTCTATAGAGAGATATTGAATTTTCAAGTCGACTTGATTTTTGTGACTTATCGGTGGCAAATGACTATTTGTTAGAAATTCAATATCTCAACATATGAATAGTTTTTTCGGCTGAAATTTTTAGGATATTCTTAGGATCGTTAGATCTGTCTATGAACTGAATCTTAGGTCAAAACTTCAGTAAAACAGTCAGAAGTCAACTCCAATGATTTATGAGTATGAACTTCTATAGGATTGCTTCAGTCCTATCAAGACCTCATGGCGAGTCGAATATGAGTTCAAATGCTGGATTACAATTAGTGAAACTCAGAAAATTTTAAAAGATTTCAGGTTCCACCACTCAAAGTTACGACTATTTTAATGAGTTTTCAGTCTCTGGATTAATTATTCATGAAAAAACACAATAACGAGATTTCCAACGAAAAACTTCCCTATATACAGACTCTATAGTCACTAGTCTATTCAAAAAATATATATTCTTCTTCGAATATCGAGTATCCAAAAAATACTTATACAGCTGTTTGTAAACATAGGCATTTTTTTTGATGACTGTTTCGTCGTCAGCTGAACAAAGTCTAAATAAGTCAGAAAATAGTTAGTCAGGATTTTTTAATGAAAATATTTTATAATGTTCATATTATAAAAGAGTGATGATTTCTTTTCAATTATTTCTTTCAAATGTGAATGAATAAAATTTTACATGGTAGTACCATTTACATGGACTGCGCAGAGTCTGTCAGGATCTTAGCGAAAGAGTCATTCAAACAAGGACGTACCCGATGTAGTTTATCAAGATGCTGTGATGCATGAAAAATGTACTTTTACGCTTATTATTTCAGCGATGAAACAAATCAAGTAGATGTGCGTAGAAAAAAAATGCTCCAAAAGCAAAGTGTACAAGTCTTTTTGCAAAACAGCTATATATTACAAAGCAAACTATAGAATGAAGTTATCTTACATACTCAATATCTCAAAAAAAAAGAGCTTCCGTTAGAGTCGAAATTTCTCGGATATTCTAATGATCGTTATACTTGTTGATGAACGAAATTTCCGATGAATAGTTGGCTCAAACGCCGAAAACCTACTGAAATGATCAGGATGTGTAATGTATGAACCTGAAACATTCTAGAATGGCACCTGATAATTGAATAGGTTCCTTCATTAGATTTTATTTGTAAAACAAACTTAAAAAACAAAATTCTATTAATCAAATATTTTTAAATTCATTGTTTGTTTCATCATTAGAATTCTATGATGATTTCATAAATTTATAATTGTATATGTGGTGATATTTAAACTTTCAATCTTCGTGTATAATTATCATATTGTAAATTTTCAATGGAGGCTTAGCTTAAATAAACTAAATCTTTCTTTTTTTCACTAACTAAGAACTTATAAAAAAAAATAATTCAACGTTTCATATTTTTCTTTTCGAATATTTAATACAAAAAAAAAAAAAACAGAAATTTNTTGAGGATATTAAAAAAAAAGAAATCTTAACAATTCATATGTTTGTTTGGTTTTAGGATGTATATGTATGTAGAAATGTTTTCTTTTTGTTTTTAAGAAAGAAATTATTGAAGGAAGGATCAATTACAAAAGAACACGCGCAGGTAGGTAGTATCGGAACTTACGAGACAACATCCTTAATTGTCCAATCAGTTTTCGCTGGACATTATTACCAGTCGATCGATCATAAAGTGTAGTAAAAAGAAAAAGTCTTGTTTCGTTTGGTTTTATGATCTTTATATGTTGAGTTATTGACATTTTACTTAAATATTGCGCTATGCACATCGAATCTGTGAGAATCTGAATGATTGAATTTTGAGCTGCAATTTCATTCATGGATAGGTCTTATAGTCACTAGAAACAAACTGAAAATTGAGCTAGAATGAACGTATTCTTACTAGGATATTTAAATTTTAAAGAAACGTCTGTTTTGTCTTATGCATTTCATAAGAAGAAAGTTTCTATTTCGATAAATATATATTTGTCCTAGCTTAAACTTTGAGATGCTTCTAGTAACTATAGAACCTATCTATAGACAAAATTTCAGCTCGAAATTTGATCATTCCGGATCTCAAAAATTCTGTGTGCATAATTCAACAAATACGACGGATGGAATTTTCATTCATTGTATAGGCAACATATATGTTTTGAGAGCTTCATCTCTCGGAGAGATTAATTCACTAAAAAGAAACCTTTCGTTCTATTGAGGAAGAGGCTATAAGCATGTACTCTTTTTAAGTAGAAGCAAAATTAAGATACAACACAATGGGAATAATACTACAAAACTTATGTAAAATTGTATTTGAAATTTTCTTTTATGTATCAAAAGAAAGATCTTTAGTCTCTGAATCTATCGTTCGTTTAAATGAGGACTAGTTTGCTAACTGATCAGACGATCGATATCAATTTAATGAAATAACAGTTTCATAAGTAATTTCTAATAATTCATTAATTGGATTATTTACTATAGGCTTGTATATAAATTACTCGAGATCAATAGCTCATAATCTTATCCATACAACACAAGGATATAATTCTAAAATGTTGTTCGGTATAGATTAAATTTTAATTGCCGTTTAAATACAATTTCTCGTTGAATACTATCGACATGTCCAATATTACAAACATTTTGAGAGAGTATTATTATGTTAAGCTGTATTTACTATCTATAGACATATCATCCATGAACAGGTTTACTGTAGTACTCGCTATTAGCTGAACTACAATGCTATGAATAAGTTTTCAATATTCGATTTATAACTGTCGTAGAGTGATATAGACAAATTTCACACTCTCTATTACATCTCTTGCGTAGTATACAAAAGACGAGATATTGAAAAAACAATAAACGCTTTCGAATTTTTAGTTTAACCTTTAAGATAACAAAACTAAAGAGAAACATTACTTACTAAACTTGATTTAATCATAGTAAAAAAAAGAAAGGTATTTGGAAGTTTTCTAAACCAAAAAGAAAATCATGTTGTATGCCAAAAGATGAATAATTTAAATTCAATCGGTCTAAAAAAAAAAAAAACATTTTCATAACAATAATATTTTTTTCGTTCATTACGAATAAAATTTATTTTATAAGCTAAATTTTATTATTTGTTGCTAATGTTATAATTCAATAATGCTTAAACACCATTTTGTCGATCTCATTGATAAAAATTTCTCTTGAAAAGTCAAATCGACAAGGTCATAAACAATAAAACCATATATAGAATTTTGTTGTATTATTAAAAATCTGGTTCAATTAGAACGATTAAATCTAATATAGATTGTTTTATTTAAGAATGATTTAATAGACATTTCTATGTAAATTTTAATATCTAAAAAATTTTTGAAAATAAATATTTGAGTGTTTTTATTATTATTATTATTTTTTTGATGAACAAAGCAAAAGTTTAAGCACATGATTTTTAAATTTCTTCGATGTAATATTATTAATAGAAATCAGACACAAACTACAAATAGATACCTCGTTTATATTTACAAGGTAACTGTTTGTACATCATTCGCAATATCAAAGTATTATAGCAAAGAACTGACCAATAAAAACAAAGGCAGCTATTACTGTTTACATGTTATTATGAAAAATATGTTTTGATGCAAGAAAACAATATGGAAAGATAATATACATATAATGACAAAAATCGTATACATATTTATTTGATTAGATTTAAGAAATTGGAGACAAATTGTTTAACAACCATGTATTTTATGAAAATCGCTTTTGCATGATGATTGTTACAATAAATTGGCAGAAAGTTTTGACTAGTTGAAATAATTTTGTATCAGACAAGCTACTTTTTAAATTTTCATTTCAAATTTTGGAAAGAAAATCTTTGTGAAATTTCAAAAACCTTCAAAAATCAATTTTCTATATATGATCAAAAGTATTTTTGCAAATAATTTTGTGATAAAACAATCATTTCTAAACGAAATAAGACGTAGATGAGCTTTTCATGACTTATCATCATCGAACTGCACTCATTCTACAAAAAGTTCTACAAACAATTTTTCTATTGTTTTGAGAATTTATTGTTTTTTTCATGCCTTGGTATCTTTCGTAGAATGATAGATCATGAAAAGCTCGGTTTAAAAATCTTTGCTCTAACATATGAACTTATTTACAAAAATTCTTTTGATTGTAGCTATAAAACTGGTTCTTGATTTTTTTTATAGACTCTTCAAAACTTTTAACGAAAATTTAAAACGTAGTTCGTCAAAGAGAACATTTTCTCAACTATCTAAATCTTTTTTTTTCAATTTGTAGAATAAAATGAAATTAATTAGTGTTAATTTTATACGTCCCATACAAATTAAGGATGATAATATAGATATATAAGAAATCAGGGTTGGAAATCTAGAAAAAAAGAGAAATTTCGATGATAAAATTTCATAAGAGTAAATACTTCATTACTTCAACTTGAATTACAATACATAAATAAGAGTAGCATGAAGAACTTTTGAATAATGTCACAATAAATAAAGCAAAGTACTTTTTCTACCTGACAGAGTATAATTACGGTACTCTATTTTCTTCTTAGTCATGTACAGAACATCGTGTTCTTTTAAAAGCGTGAGTACCTTGGGTGCGTTACTTATGCTTGAGATATTTAATATTGAAAATATTATTTCGAAGAAGAACACGAAACGAAAAATTGAATTATTATTATTGGGGTATTCGAAATCCAACAAAACGAAATGTTCTATTCTGATCAAAGAAATGAGTGACATCTGCTTGTCGAAATACTTTATTATTCTTATGAATAATTATTGACAATAAAAGAAGAATATTGAAAACGAATTTATTTTTTGTATAGAAACCATTATTGCAGAGTTCACGAGCAAAATATAGAAGAAAATCTGGCAATTCTACTCGAGATATCTTTACTATGTCACCTTAATTATATGCTTTATGCACATGCACTGCTGTTTGATGTATTAAATGTGTCCACAAACTGACGAATATGAATAACATATAGAAGTACTCGACTGAAAACTTATTTATGCACTTACTAAATGAGATCTTGATTAATAAAGAACTAACTAGTGCATCATGATGAGTAACAAATGTTAGTTATATTCTGTATTAAATTTGTTATGCTCGATAGAAGGTATGGTGGCTATCAGTATGGATCTTCTATTAACTTACACATTCACATTCAACATTAATCGTCACCATAGAAGTTTTTTCTAATTGATCAAATTTATTTTGATTAACACGAGATTTATTATCATTTTGTTTAGTTTAACTTAGTTTACTTCGTATTTTAATTTTACTCATAAATAATCATATATTTTCATCATTTTTTTTGTATCTATTGATTTAATTGATAATATTAAATTTAAGTGAGACAAGAAAACACAGGAATGTTCTAAGAGGCGAATTTTTCTGCTCACTATTCCTCATTAAAATTGGCTAACTTTGCCATTCTAGACACATAAGAACGTATATATTACATTATTATTCTATAATTTAGTCTGAAACTTTGTCCACAAACAAGTCTACTTACTCAGTAGAGTATCCTGTAGGCAAGAACTCAAGTCGAAATATCTTCATTAAAGTTATTTGTATAAATCACATCAAAGGCTAACATTTTAGTAAAATGTCGAATTCAATAGCAATTAATCAGTTAAATATGTTCGCTCGTCAGCATGAGTTATTGTCAATTTCCGATAATGATTATTATTGGGAATAAATAATATTACTTAAATAACAATATTATAATTTCAACTTCGGATACGAGTGACATCTATTAAAATCAATATTTTTGGTTTATTGAAAAGATGTATATTTTTGTTTATTTTCTGATTCAATCTCATTGCATTTCTTTCATATCTACACAACATCATCGTCTATATAATTCATTCAATAAGAAATAATACTTTTATTTTTCAATATTTTATTTTCATTCATGAGTGGAAACGAGTATGAAAATAGTGACACAACAGGTATATCTTAAAACTATTGCGAATTTAATTTTCTTTTTCTTATTATTATTTATGTGTATAGATGATGAGTGCTATGATACATATTATGATGATACAGATCCATTTCAAGATGATAATAATAATAATTATACAACAAATATTAATGCGAATGATCCAGAACAGTTTGAATATAAAGTTAGTTTATTAAATGAAGTTCAAGCACGTTTTGAACCATCAACATTTTCATCTTCATATATTCATACATCATCTATACCTGATATATGTTCAATTTGTTTTAAAAATCAAACAAATTTTGAATCATTAGTATGTAATCATGCATTTTGTCATGATTGTTGGTCACAATATATAGATACAAAATTTCAATATCAAAATTGTATAAGTAAGTTGTATGAATTATGTTTTTATTTATTTATATTTACTGTATTATTTTCTATAGATTACGAATGTATGAAATGTGATAAACGCATACCACACAAGTATTAAAAAATAAATTTATTTTAATTATTAATAAATAATCGTATTTTAGTTTTGTTTTACAACATTTATCGTCAGATAACCGAAAAGAATTATATAAAAAATTAGTCGTTAAAGCAATGATTCAAGTAGAAAAATAATACTTAAAAAAATTTTATTTAAAACAAAAAAAAAAAATGAAAACTTCATTTAGAATAATCCGCAAATGACAATATGTCCTGGAATATGTGATCGAGTATTTGAAGCAATAGATAAACCTATACCAGGAAAAGTTGAATGTGAATTATGTGGCTTGAAATTTTGGTAAAAACAAAAAAATGTTTTTTTTTCTTCGTTTAATAGACAAGAAAATTTAATTAAATATTTTGGTTTTTAGCTTTCAATGTTCATTGAGTTATCATGCACCGGCTAGTTGTGATATAATGAGAAATTGGTTTAAAAAATGTCGAGATGTAAGCTGTTTTTTTTTTTTTTTTTCTATTGTATTACATTTATTTTTTATTATTAAGGATTCGGAAACAGCAAATTATATTTCAGCAAATACAAAGGATTGTCCAAAATGCAAAGTGTGTATTGAAAAAAATGGAGGTAAGACTTTCGTGATAAATTCATTGAATTTTTATTTTTTTGCTATTTTTATTTTAGGTTGTAATCATATGGTAAACAAATAAAAATTAATTTTAATTAAAATATTATAAATATTATTTTTAGTCATGTTTTTCATGTAATCATCATTTTTGTTGGATGTGTCTTGGCGGTGAGAAATATTTAATTAAAGAAAAAAATTTTTTTTTTTTTTTGAATTGATTATATGTATATTTTTTTGTAGATTGGAAAACTCATGAAAATAATTATTATGAATGTTCAAAATATCGTGGACAACCACAATCACAATTGGAAACAATACAAAGTCGTGCTCGTGAAGCACTTAAAAAATATTTACATTATTTTGAACGAGTAAGAAAAGAATTTTTTTTTTTTTTTTTTTTGATGCAATATGTATTGTTTCAATGATATTTATAGTGGGATAATCATCAACGAAGTTTAAAATTAGAAGAACAAACAAGAGCAAAATTATTAGAAAAAATTGAACAAAATATCAATGCACAAAATGGAACTTATATTGATTGGCAATATTTAGAAAAAGCAGCGGATTCATTAGCAAAAGTAAGTTCTTTCCTGTTAAATTGTATTCATTATTAATCTAAATTGAAATTTCAAAAATACATGGTTTTTGCTTACGAGGGAACGTTCCCAAGTGATTAAAAGCTTTTGAGCTCATATATTGCCCATTAGGTAGGGGACCACTAGATTAGAGAAACCTCCAAAGGATTCGTGCCCATATTGAGATTTGACAGAGATATCGAATTTTTAGTGGATTTTTCCTGCTGGACCCTAGTTCTACAGCAAAATCATATTTTCGAATTTCGANTAAACCCAGTAAAATGACCATAACTCGAGAAGGAAGGCCCATGGGCCCTTGTCCTTTTGGGCTTTTTCTAATCTCATTGGACTCTACTTATCGGCAAAATATCGGCTTAAAAGCTTTGAATCACTTCGAACGGTTCCCTCGTAAGTGCCATTGAAGCGCATATTCACAAACGAGGAAGTTCAGTGTCATGTGATGTATGCATAGTATGACAATTAATTATTCGATCGATTCAAAATAAATTATAAATTTCAAATGTTGCTTAAACGAAAGAATTATATTGTGAATTTTTATTTTCTAGGCACGTTATACATTGATGTATACATATCCTTATGCATATTATCAAGAAGATACTGTTGATAGAACTCTTGTAAGTTTATTAACTGAAAAGTTCAATATTATAGAATTTTCCTTTTTTCTTTTACGAAAATAAAAATATTAGTTTGAAAATATTCAAGCTCAACTTGAAGTTGAAATTGAAAATCTTTCATATCAAATAGAACGTTCAACAACACATAATCGAGGAGTAAATTCAATTTATTTTTATATGAATATTTTTTATTATAAATCATTTAGGATATTGAAAATCAACGACATATTGTTGAACGACGTCGACAAACATTATTACTCAAATATTTTCCTAAATCAAACACTTAGTTAAAATCTTTTTCGTTCTTTTTTTCTTCATTTCATTTTTGTAATGTACGCAATAGCAATCTCTAAGCATTGTATATAATTTTTTTTTTTCTTGTATTACTTTATAAAGAAAAAGAAAAACAAATTCAAAAATATGTTTTATCGGTTTGTTTTAGATGAATACTATCAATAATATCTAATTGAGAACAAAAACAACAAGAATGGATCGAGAACCTTGGTAAGATAATATTAAAAAAAGAAAATTTTGAGATGATTTTATTGTATTAAATAATAGTCCTTGGCGTATTGTGGATGATTGTGGTGGTGCATTTGCTTTAGGAGCAATCGGTGGTACACTTTTTCATTCAATTAAAGGATTTCGTCATGCACCGAGTGTAAAAATTTGTCATTTATGAAAAAATTTAAAATTCCGTATTTGATTTTCTATAGGGTCAATATCGACGTTTACTGGGCAGTTTAAATGCAGTAAAACAACGAGCACCTCGTGTTGGAGGTTACTTTGTTGAACATGAGATAATTCATATGTTAATGTTTGGTTATTTTTGTTTTAGCATCGTTTGGTGCATGGGGATGCATATTTTCATTGGCTGATTGCAGTTTTGTTTATTTGAGAAAAAAAGAAGATCCATGGAATTCTATTATGAGTGGTGCGTTAACTGGTGGAGTTTTACAAGCTCGACGTAAATTTATTTTTTCAATCCTTGACTTATTGTAAAAACTATTGTCTTATATCTTTTTAGAGGGACCCGGTCCTATGCTGGCTTCAGCTATTCTTGGTGGATTTATTCTTGCCATGATTGAAGGAACAAGTATATTGATTAATCGATATAGTCAAATGCTTATGCCACAACCTGGGCAAGAAGGTAAAGATATTTATTTTTTAACATAAAAATTATAGGAAGTTACTTTCTTTTTGTTTAGAACCTCCGCTTGATCTTAATAAAGGCAAAGTCGATCTTTCGATGCCACCAATTTTCAGTTCATCTCCTGGACAATCTACGTCCAGTAATTATTCATGAAATAGAGATTTTTTGTTCTTTTTTCCCGATCCTGGTTGAGAATATCATTGTAAAACAGCAGAAAAATTGATTTCCGTCAAATCCGTTTTTTTTCTGTATACGAAAATTCTTGTCCATCGTGTTTTTGTTAGCGTTTTTTTGTACGAAAGAAAAGAAAGTTAAAAAAAACGAATAAATTTTGATATTAATCAAGAATAATTCATCTTTTTCGCAAGTGTCTCTTACATTTTACTATATATCACCAATTCTTATTTAAAATAACAAGCAAATTCGATCAAAAATATTTTGATGGTTTTTTCCAGTGAAAAATGTATAACGATTCTATGTAATGTGTATAGATTGTTGGCTCTGAAAAATGTGTAGAAAAATGTTTAAAAACTGTTCTAACATATCTTAGTTGAGTTTTGAAATCTCACCTTTATGATTTGCTTACAACATGGTCTTTCCTTTTTTATCTATCAAAAACAGAGTACGTCCCACATTCAGTAGAATAAGCTTGATTATATCATAAAACAAAAAGGCGTGTATCAAACTCAATCGTCAATGCGAATTTCCATGTGGGTGTGAAAAAAGAGGCTAAGTAAACCCCACATCCACATCCACACCACACCCACACCACATCCACACCCACATCCCAATTCTCCCAACTCATTTGTAAATAGAACGCTTGAGGTTTGATACCAAGAGAATCGTGCTATGCATGGGTGTATTATTGCTAGTGACGTATCGTTATTTGTGTATAGTGTCCGATGTTTATCAAGCAAAGTGATGTTATAGCGCACACCTTTCCAACTTTCCAAGTTTCCAACTTTTTAATTAACTGTTTATCGTCTTTGATCTAAGACTTTCTAATGACATTTGGCAGAGCAAAGAAAATGATGATGATTGTGTTTTTCCCATATTAGAAAGGAAGTACATCATGAGTGTCACATAGTCATACAAGTGATTTACACGGATGAAATGCGCAAAATCGAAGGTGACTCGACATATTATATATATTCATGGTAACGGTGTGTTCTTATTCATACAAAAAACGTCGTTAAATTTCACTATCAACCTGGTCTTGAACTTACAAGATTTCTCACACATACAATAAGTAAAGGTCTGTTTTTCGAATGTGTTGTCTCTTAAAGAGCCGTTTGTAGTAGTGACTCTAGAGCAAGTTATTGTGTCATATAGGAAAACCACTAGTCTTGTATAGTGTTATTTTCGTGTCATTATGATTGTTTTGCTTGAGCAGGGGGAGGGGGGCGGAAGAACTTTTCAAAATCCTATACGACATGAACAGCAGAGATTAGATTCTGTAAATATAATATTTATTGTTGCTTCCTTTGATTTTCGATGAATATATAGATAAGAAAACATTTGCTCAAACGGAAATTGAACCAATGATCGATTACTAGTTATTCGAACACGTACTCTAACTGCTTGGCGATGGNATTAGTATAATTATTAGGAAAAAGTAATTTTTATTATTTTGAAAAGTACTAAAAATTACTTTATACGGCTATACTTTTTATTAATAAAACAACTCAACAACTTTGAAATCGTTGGAGCAAAAGTACTTTTTATTACTTTAAAAAGTAATAAAAAGTACTTTTTACTTATAAGTATACTAATAGTTACTTAAAAAGGTTCACTTATTAGTGACTTTTCCTACTTTCAGAAATAATACTGAAAGTACTTAAAAGTGACTTTTTTGGGTCTCAACTTTTACATGGGTTATTGTTGTTATGAAGATACAAGTAAAGTAAAATTTACAAAAAAAAATGTGAATTAATTCTACAAATAAGGGTTGATCATAAAGAATTATAGTTTTAGCATTTTTAAAATTTCTTCTCTTTTTTCCACTTGCTTAACATATATATTTTTAACTAATAGATTCAGCGTAAAATTCTCTATGCATTCATGAATAACTTAGATCAAAGCTCATTTTAAATATATACCACGAAAACGATGAACACACAAAAATATTCAAATAGATGCCAACAATAAGTATGCATGTGCAGATGAAACAACGAAAAGTTGATATGAAGTGTGCTGCTAATGAGTCGATTCTACTCACCATTTGTTTCCATAAGCAAATTATGATTAATAAAATAGCTTCACCTAAATCTCGAAACATTTTTCTCGTTCCATCTTCGCATGCATACTTATTATTGACATCTATTTAAATATTTTTGTATGTTCATCGTTTTTGTGGTATATATTTAAAATGAGCTTCGAACTAAGTTATTTATAGATTCATAGAGAGGGTGTGGGTATGTGGGATGTCGATGGAAATATTAATAGAGACAACACCCACACCCACACCCATCTTATGTGTTTCTGGAATGATATATAAATAATTCAATCGCATCAATAATTAACTTATATTCATATATACATATCGTACTTCGGTGATAGATTTTGAATGAAATAAATCGTTTAACCCTTTCTTTCCCAGTGGTATCTATGGATATCATTTTTTTTAAAGTTTTCTTCTCTTGAGCTACAAGACATACAAAAATTAATTTTATACAAAATTAAAGCACATCTATTGCCGACTTTATATCAGTAATCCGAATATAACATTTATCGTAAAAACTTTATTTACTACTCAGACAATATATTATGTTATGACATGTGCGGAAGTCATGCCATTAGAAAGTGTTAACGCATGATTGGTCTACTAGATCAATATTGAACTTCGATTTATTGTCCTAACGGCCACGAAATATAAATGTGAACGAGTTAAGAAAAACCAAAAACACGTGAAAAGAAACACGAAAAAAAACTAGCACTTATTGCTAAAAATGTAAAGTTTTGCTTTGTTACGTTGAAACTAATCATTTTCAATTATATCATTAATTAAAAGAATAGAACTTTCAAAGTCTATTTACACACTAAAACGAATTATGCTTTATGAAGTGAATGTAATTGTTGTATACTTACAATAATAGTATCATTGTATTCATTTTGTTGTAGCTTTCATAAGTTTTTTTATACAATTAAATTAACTGAACATTTAATACGTTAATTATATGCGCACTTAACTGATGCGATTCAAACTTTTTATGTGCATCTTAGAGACTATTATGGTTACAATACTGAATGCATTTCAGTTTCAGATCGTAAAGTTTAACCATGGGAAAGAATGGGTTAATGTGACCTCTACTCAACCGACAATAGCAGCTAAACATTTTTGACTTACATTTTGATTTTTTGCATTGAATTCTTGAAGACGTCAACAGACATCTGTTTGTAACATGAAACCAGACGATTTTTATTCGAAATCATTCACTGAACATACATCAAATTCGGAGTCGTCATAAGTATTTTCTAAAACCGAATTGTCATCAGTTAATTTACATAGCAATGAGAGAATTCTTTTTTTTTTTCAATAATCAATTGGAAAATGGGAATTCCCTAGTAGTTCATTATCATCATTCGATGAATGAATAATAGTACTGATAAAATCCTCCTTGTTGTTGATTTCATTTCTATCAAATGAAAGAGTGTATTTTTCTGATCGTAAAACTTTCATCCAGTGGATATGTAAAGACAAAGATTTCATCTTTACTTTCAGTTGCCTACGTACTTTTTTACGTCAATATGAAGATTACTGCCTTCATCGGCAACTATTGCGTTGGGTATGGGTATGAGTTGATTTTACACCCACACTACAAAGGAATCCAAAAAGTTTTATTTATTTTTCTATATTTTAATGAGACACATTTAGAATAGACTAGATGTTTAACAGAAAGTTATAGTATCATATTGTCTTAGTTCTATTAATGATATGAATAAGATGGTATCATTCATGAATATAGGGTGAGAGTGTTAGTTGATGATTAATAAATGATCAAATGATGTATTATTTAGTTTTCGGTAATATATTCAATATTGTGAAAAAATTAAAATGTCAATTTTGTTAATTGAAAATATCGTTTGCATGAAAAATTAATATTTGAGTTTGTTAATGATCGTTTCATTGAAAATTATGTTTAGTTTTTGTTTTATCATAAGTTCTGCTTTTCATATTTAACAATTTAATTTTTCATCGACGAATTTTTGAGTATAACTTTGAGCTATTTGTTCAACTTTAAATAAAGTTTGCATCCTTATATCATTAGTAAATTTGTCTACCGGATTCAGTTCATCCATGAAGTTTTTAATTGATTGTTGATCTAATAATAGTTGTGTAAAAAAACATCTCATTGGTCTTTGTGAATGTTAGATCTCGAATCTTAAGAAAGATTTAGAAGTGAACCAAATTGTAAACATTTCAATTTCATATCGGAATATTTGTTCTTCATAAGTTGCTTTCCAAATAATTTTTCTTGAATAAATTTAAACATATTTATGACGAACAAATGATGTCAAGTGTAGATATATATGTGTTCGAAGAAATGTTACATTATGACGATTCAAAATAACGCAAATTATATTGAACAGATAAGTTGATCTTCCGTAATACTTATCTAAAGTTCATTGAGATCAATCGTAAAATATATAATAAATATGCTGAATATCAAGAGTAATTATTTGATCATCGATATGATAGTAAAATGATCAACTATGAAAATTTACATGTCATATACAAGAGATGTAAATATCGCACAGATAATTATTTTCAGATGCACTTCAAAGAACACATTTGAAATAATAAATACATTGTTGATCTTCCCTACGATTGTAAGCATTCAATTCTTCGTAGGTATGCGATCCATCATATTTTGTCATTTGGTAATGTCCATCGCTTTAAAATACAATGAGTTTCGCACATTTAGAATTGATCACGACGACTATTATTACATTCGTAAATAACAGAAAGCAATTCTTGAAGTGTCATTCGATTGTTGATACATTTATCCATGATAACATAACTATTGGTTCTATAGATAAATTCGATCATCACATTCAAAATTGGTCTGTTGAAATGTACACTTGACATCATTGAACAAAATGCTTTTCATCAGTTAAATCTATACAATCATAATCATCATCAAGAAAATATT